CCCCCCTTAAAAAAAAAAAAAAAAAAAAAAAGACTTAAATCATGAGCTCTTGAAAAGGGAAAAATCCAAGAAGGGTGGCTTGTAGTGGGTGTCTGAGTCCCTAAAGTTGCACTACCTGTGTGTGCAGCCTCTTCACTACAGCCATGCTGCCTAGAATCTATTTTTTTTTTTAAATGGCAACAGATATTTGTGCAGCTGGGACTCTATTGCAGTGTCCCAAATGCTCATGATATTTCTTAATTTTGTAACTGGCTATTACAGTGTGGTGGATTTCCACCCCCACCCCCCCCAATGGCTGTTAATTCAAAAATTGTGATTGGATGTAGTTTTTGTTTTGTTCTCTTCCCACCCCAAGGTCTGCTCTAGCTCAACCAGGAACTAATTCAGGCAGGTCCTGTGGGTTGTTATGCACTCTGACTAGGTGATCCCCTCTGCCTTTTTGAACCTATGACTTGTATGTCTCATCTGTAAATGTCAAATTACTTTACAAAGGAAGTTGGTATTGCATTCCCTATTCTATAGATGGGGAAACTAGGGCCCAGGGAGGGGATGTGACTTGCTCAACATGTCCCAGCAGGCCAGTGGCAGTTGGTGATAGAATGCAGTTCTCCTGAGTCCCAGTCCAGTCTTCTACCCACTAGGCTCCCAAACTACCTGTTGGAAATCTGGCACTTAAGTTCCTGACTCCTACTGGGTTTTGAAAAAAATTCTGAAAAGCAGTTGGGTGACTTGAAAACTTTATCCCACAACGCCTGACTCTCACTAGGGTGGTGTCATTTCCAAGGAAAGCTGTAGGGAAAAGCATGCTCATATTAAAGGTAATATCTCTTTAATCTTCCTATGTCATCCTGGAATACTCCTACCAATGCTGTGTGGTACCTTAGGCCTTTCCACAGGTCTAATGTCAGGGCAGATCTGCCCTGAGGTATTGGGGGAATAACACCCAGGTTGGCACTCTTAGGCCACTGGGCAGCATTAGTGGTACCTTCCTGGGTGCTGTACAGCAGCTGCCATTGCTGTGGTACTAGCATGTGTGCACACGTGGCTGCTTTTGTCAGGGCTGGCCTCCCAGTAGGAACATGCATCAGGAAAGGATGTGCAGCAGGTAGGGTGACCAGACTCTACCCCTGCCCTCCCACCCCCAAATAAGTGCCCCCATTTTTCACACCCTTTATCAGTGGTGCAGGTTGGTATTCTAGTGGGCTTTTGTGCTACTGGCCACAGCCTTGCCTCCTGGGGCATTGTGGAAGTGCATTGTGGGATACTAGCAGCACTCTCCTCAGGGAATTGTGGGAGGTAGGGATCCAGTTCCCACAATTCTCTCTGGCTTGAGATAAACAGCAATGTAGAATTTGAGGCTAGAAGGGGTTGTTGGGGTGACTGGGTCTGACCTCCAGAATAGCACAGGCCAGAGGACTGCCCTGAATAAATTCCTGGTTGAGTGAGTGAGAGCAGATCTGCTGGAAAAACATGCAGTCTTGGTTTCCTTTGCTCACTTTTTAATTTCCCTCGTTTCGGTTCCATTGAATGTTCTCTTGCTCTTGTTAAGAGATTGGGACAACAGACTCTCCCTGTATCTATTATTTGTCTGACCATAGTTTCCAGGAGCCCCCATTCTGGTAGGTGCTGTACAAATGCAGAACAAAAAGCCAGTCCCTTACCCAAAGAGCTGACAAGCAAAGGCTAATACAGGAAAGGACAGCCAGGGGAAGCCCAATAAACGATGAGATGCTATTGGTTGACATCATGGACAGCCTAACTGATGTCCGTGTGTTGTAGGCGTCCCAGCAAAGGTGAGTTTGAAGGAGAACAAGGCTGATCTGTTGTGGGCATTTATGGGGAGCTCCCCCAAGCATGAGGGGCAGCCTGGGGAAAGGATAAGGGTGTTTGTTTGAAAATATAAGTACGGGGGGGGGGGCAGTGTAGTGGGCTAATCAGAGGTTGGAGATGACACCTTGATAGCAAATGAGAGGTGATAGGTCAGGTGGGGGTAGGTTGTGAAGGGCTTTGAGAGGAAAGACAGGTGGCTGATGTTTGATGCGATATAGACAGAGGGCCAAGAGAGGGATGCAAAGAGAGGAGTGAAGTGGTCCAAGCAATGGGCTAAGAAAATGATCTTCTCAGCATTATTGTATAGACTTTTATCCAGTCCCTTCTTTGTCATCTTTTGAAGGTGGACAATCCTAGTCTTTCCATGTAGTTTTCCCAGGCCTTGGAGCCTTCTCGTCGCTCTTCTCTGAACCCCACCCCCTACCCTAGTTCTGTTATCACCTTCTTGAAATGGGGTGACCAGGACTGCACAAAGTATTGCAATGAGGCTGGGCCATTGATCTCGCTCTCAGAATATTTTTTTACCTCTCAGAAAGTGATGGCCAATCTTGACTGAAGGACTCAAAGGTCCATAGAGCAAAATTTTATCTAGTTTACCAAAGAGGAGGTTAAGAGATGACTTGATCCCAGTCTCTACATTTGATGATAAAGATCTCTTAAATCCGGCAGACAAAGGCCTAACGTGATTCTGGTGGTGGAAGTTTGAAGCTAGACAAATGCAGGTTGGAAATAAGGTGCCCATTTTTCATAGTGAGGGTAATTAACCACTGGAATGACTTCTCAAGGCCTTTGATGGCTTCTCTAGTATTGAAATCTGGGGTGAATATTTGTTTTATTTTTATTTTAATTCTGCTCTAATTTAAACAACAATTAAGTCAGGGCAGTTCTATAGCCTGTGTGCAGGAGGTCAAGCTAGGTGATCCCAGTGGTCCCTTCTGGCCTCATAATGCCTGGAGACCTCAGTTCAATGCGTAGTGGTGCTCAAAAATAGGAAGAGATGTAAAGAATGAGAGGGGAAAACAGTATGCCTTTCTCCTCAAGCTCCCTGTCCAAACTCTGTGTGGAGACACTCTTCTGTAATGAAATCACTTTTGTTCCAGAATAGACTCCCCATGGAGGAATTCTTCCGGAAGAGCTATGCTGCTCAATTTAATCCGTGTAGACAAAGCTTGAGGCTGGGATGGCCTAAGGAAATGAGATGCCCTAGCCAAAGTGACTGAGAGACTGGTGCCAATCTCTTTTTTGCCCCAGGACAATCCAGCCCTAAGTGAGCAAAATTCCTTGGGAATTTCTGCCTCTTCCTGCCCCTAGCCAAGGAATTCTGTACATGAGGCCCCTTGCAGCCCTCTGGGTCATCAATTTCAGGTCCTGCTAGCATAGGCAGCCCCATCGTAGAATCCTGGTCAGAAACCTATCTAGCTCCATCCTCAACCTAGCAGGGTTATTTGCCCCCCACTGCTCTGAGGGGGAGGCTGCTCCAGCCCCTCCCTCCTCTGATGGGTAGAAACCGTCTCATCTCCAGCCTCAATTTATCCTTGACCAGTTTGCCACCATTTGTTCTTGTGCCAACTTTGTCCTTTAGCTTCAGTAGCTGATCTCCCTGCCCCAAGTGTATTTATAGTGAACAACTAGATCCCCCTCTCAGCCTTTGTCTGGCCAGGCTCAACAAGCTCAGCACTTTCAGTCTGTTCTCATAAGATCAGCTCTGCCTTCCCCTGATCAGACTAGGAGCCCTTCTCTGCACTGGGCCAATTTGGATTCCTCTTTCTTGAACGGGGATGATAACAGCACACTGTGTTCCTGATGAGGTCTTACCCCACTGCCTTGTCCAGTGGCATGAATGCTTCCACATCTCATGTGGAAATCTCTCTCCTGATACATCCTAGGATCTTGTAGGACCTTCCAAGCTCAGCGAGTGCATCAGTGCTGGGTGTTTAGCTATGAGGTGAGAGTGCAAGGTGATTGCACCCTTACAATGGACAGAGGGGAGGTCAGTCTGAGATGGG